TTTGTGTCTTGTGGACCAGAAATGGGTTTCCTTCACCCGAAAGAAAAGTGATGTCGTCGTCGCAAAAAGTTGGAGTTAGCTACCTACCTAAAGCAAGTTGTGTTGTTGCGTTGCAGAAGGCACCACCACCGCTGATCGGCAATGTGATGCGCCGCCACAGAGGTGCACCCAAGGTACCCCGAACCTATAGCTCCAAAGGCAAGCTTCCGTCCCCCTTCCCTACGGGAACCCCCAACCACCGACCATCCGGCTCCCGGTCAGCCCCACATGACACCCCCCTATACAAACTTCTCCTGTTGCTCCTGTTCGTCATCTGATTCATCCCACGTGTGGACAATACATGTTTAAATGATTTGCATGCAATGCTATATACATAGAGTTGTTGGTTCGGGTATCTATATATACAAAAAAGAAATATCATCCATCCAGTCCTCCCCCTCGAGAAAGAATATCAAAAAAAGCAACAGAGAGGGAGGGATGGGGCCAGCTCAATAAATACGAAAATGATGAGCACACTCCCGCCCCATCTCCAGCTCCCCGGACATCAATCTCGTGTCCCTCTGCCGTTTCCCTCATCATAAAGATAACAACCCCAAGCTCAGCAGCCCCCCAACCGTGATAGCCAGCAGCAGTCCTAAAATAAAAATAAAATAAAAAAAGAAGCCGACATGTGCCAATCTACCCTGGTGTCCTCCCCCCGTTGTTCTTGATCACATCATGATATCTCGCTGCCTCCCTCACCCCATTGGTTCGTCCGATAACCTTTGCATTGTCCGTACCGACCTACCCCCAATCGTGCTCTCATCCCCGCTATAATCATTCAGTTCCCCATTCTCCGCCAGCCCCTTCGCCGTCCACTGCCCAGGCACCAGCGGTTTCCTTCCCACCATGACACGCAACTTGACCACAAACGAACTCAACCTGTCCGGATCATCCGCAATCGCCTTCGTCTCCTTCGAAACGGTATCGCACAGACCCCTGACATACTTCTCATCCATGTCCAGATACTTGGTCAGCAACCTCAAACACTGAGCCTCGATACCCGTCACAATGGAAAACAGCCAAAACTTTCCATAGCTGGCGTTTTCCCTCGACCCAATACCGAGGTCGTAAACCTGCTCCTTGATGTCGACAAACCCTGCTTGAATCAACAAGTCCTTATTCATATGCACCCCCCTAGGTCGTCCAGCCCGTTCCGCCGCTTCGATGGATGCCTTGGTGAGAATATGCGCCGCTGACCCTTCGGGAAAGAAGGACAAATAGTTATCATCCGAGAACAAATCGTCCCAGTCAATCACCTCGATCCACCCCCCGGGCTTGATGCACATGAACGCCTGACTGTAGATAAACGACCAGTCCGTAAAACACCCGTCCATGCTCCGAATATGCACCAAGTCCACTGCATCCATCGGTCTTATCCATTCGTCCTCGGCGTTTTCAATGTGAAATTCGATGTTGAGCGGCACCTGGTCCGTCGGCTGGATAGGCGCAATATCCGTCCCAAATACTTCGCAGCGAGGGTACTTTTCCGCCATGCCGATCGCCCACTCCCCAATACCCGTCCCAATGTCCAGGATGTACTGTGGGTTGTCCAGTGGCACTGTGGTAAGTTCAAGGTCGAATAGCTTCAGAAACACCTGATGCACCACGTATTGCCGCGTCTGTTCGGTTTCGTCAATCGGCATGTAGTAGTCGCCGCAGTATGTTCGTCCATATTCTTCTATGTAATCGACATCTTCGGCGTAAAGCGTTCGGGACGAGTCTCTGCGAGTCGTGGTTAGTTTGCACATCCCATGTGGGGGCTGAAGAGATTCGGAGAACAAACATTGTCGCGGCGTCCATCCCATACTCGAATGGATATTCGACCTGGTGGGCCGGTTGGACGGTAGGGTAGGTGCTCATGGCGTACACCGACCGGGCGTGACCCGGGCGCTCTTCTTCCTCCTCGTAGCCGTTTCCTTCCAAGTCCTCGTCCCCGTCTTCGTCAACCTCCAACACAACCCTCCTATCCCCTTCCACAACCACCACTCGATATTCCGTCTCGGGGTCCGTGTCGACCTCGATAGGTTCGCCAAACGTGCAGGGTGGTGGAGTCTTGTCAACCGGCGATCGACAATGCGACTCCTCCTTCTTTTGCACGTCGTGCGTAGCAGGCAACAAGCCGTTTCCGTTTCTGATAGTCTCGACCGAGTTCATCGCCACTGTTCGTCACTGTCCTATTTTCTCCCTTTGCCTTTCCTAAGCACTGCTGACTGTGTCCTCCCACCTCGGCCGCTTTCCCCCATGAGAGTTGTCCCGACAAGATATCCTGCTCACAAAGCTGCTACTCGACTAGGTAGAGGTGACGGCGCATAGGGTAGGATTCGAAAGGCGCAACACGCGCGCAATTGTCTCGGTTGTTTGTAGGGAACGAGAAAGGCGTTTTAATTGTTGCCGATCCCACCATGGGTCAAGTGAGAGGGATTTGGGGATGTGTGACCACAACCGGCTGTTGTTCCCCGTGTGAGGCAAACCGCGGGTGCGAGAGCCGAGAGGGCGGATATGGTATCAAACCCGGCTCTGGCCACAAACACACACACACACACATACACAGATACACACACACCAAGTGCCGAGAACGGAGATATGGGAAAAGTCAAGGGCAAAGGTGGCAACCAAAAATATAACAAGAATGATAAAATAAGAAAAGAAAAGAAAAAAAGCCGTTTGTCCCGCTGCGATGGATGGGATCAGAAAACGGGATGGATGGATGGAATGTTCAAAAAGCGCCGATACCGTTGATTTGGTTCGGCCACCTGCCCATGGTCAGATGTCAGATGAAAGGGTGGGGGAGAGAACGAGAGATAATGAAGGAAGGGTAGGGAAGAGAGAGAGAGAGAGAGAGAGAGAGAGGGAAAGGGACAAAAAAAACGTGCAGGCGAGACGGGCAGAAACAAACGAGCGAAGCGGGAGCAGCTGTGTGCTGCTTGATGTTCTCTCTCTCTCTCTCTCTGTGTAAGGTTAAGTAAAGGTAGGGGGGTGACTTGATCTGGACTGGGCCGGTTCTTGACGCTAGCGATATGCAGCAGAGAATCCACTGAGAATTCCCTGGCTCCTGGCTCCTGGGTACCGCCCGCGACGCTACGATGCTTCGTTACGAGGCCAAACGAGCGGAATCGTTCCCGTCTTTTTTTTTTGTTTTTTTGTTCTTTTGTTTCTCTTTTGTTTTTTTTTGTTTTCTTTTGTGCTTGCTTTCCATCCTCTTTTTCAGTGCATCCTCTTTTCAGTGCTCAACTCGACCCCGGCTGACTCTGTATCTGACTCTGTCTCTATCTCTCTCTGTACCTATCTAATCGCGGATCGATGAGAGGATACCTACTGTGCCTAAACTAAATGCTCTCCATCACTAACAGCATCCGCCATCCGCAACCGCACACCCGAAGTCTGTCGAGCTTGGACCCGGCCTGTGATGAACAGCAGCGCGCCTGGGGATCCCTTCCCCCCCGCTCGCGGACACATTGAGCGGGAGAACCCTTGCCAGGGGTGTGGTGAACTACGCTCGGGCCAACCGAAACCAACCATTGGGTTGGGACGTTGAGCACGGGCCTTCCAAGAAGCACCCACGGCACCCAAGAACCAGGTGCCAGGTGGTTTGTTCATTCAGGGCAAAAGAGGGCAAACCCGTGGCAGCGGTTCGGTATTGTTGTGTCTTTCTTTTTACTTCTTTGACCGTTATTCGCCTCGCTTCCACCTCTCAGCATGCATAATGCACTCACTCGGACTATAGCCCCCGAGAAGAGAAATCGGCTAGCTCTTCTAGTTCTCGGACAACTTCAAAAGTCTCTCTCTCTCATCAGGACGGAGTGTCATTCGATTCTTGACATATCCATGATCTAACACAGCAAAGATCATCGTCAACCTCTTTCCAAAACCCCCTCAAACCCGGTAACACCCAAACCCAAACCGCTCCGACCCGACAGCGCGGGCGGCACTTCCCTTCCGATATGTCCACTCTTCTCACCCTGCCCCATGGGAACATCCCATCTTTTTACGTCTGTCGGTTTCGCTTAATTTTTCGATATCCCCTTTCTCAATATGCTTTGCTGGCAACTCTCTCTCTCTCTCTCTCTCTCACACACACACACACTCACTCACTCTCTCACTCACTTTCTCACTCACTCTCTCTCACACTCACTGTTATCCTGCTGTTCTGTTTCTGTTTTCTAGGCGTACCCGATCCAATGCCACGGGCCCTAGTTAGGGTACCTTAGCTCACTGATCCTCTATCAGCACCCCTGGAACTCGCATGTGAGCTTCGAACACGTCCTGGTTGTCGGTATCCAAACAAAACCCGCCACGACAGCAAAGGTCTCCAAGCGTGCATTATAAACGAGATTTGCTTTTCTTTTTTTGTTTCCAAAGATCCCGAGGGTTTGGATCGGGTCCCGCCTTTGACAAAAGATTCCAAATTCACAACTTGCGTCTTCAGCTTCTACTCTATGCATTCTCTTGGTTTTGGATACTCGAGCCACATTGTGGAATTACAACAACCTGAACACAGGCTCAAGATACCTAGCCATATGCCCCCGAGTTCCATCAAATAAACGCAAACCACACCCAATTCCTAACTCTCCCCTTCCCCCAAAGTTCCCAAAGTGGACTCAGTCATTAGTCTCGAGCCTCGGTTGGCTTTCCCCCACCCTGTTCGCAACCCCAACCACCCCCCCTTCCCACAAGGAAACAAAACTCCACCAGCTCGCGCACAATTGGACTTCACAGCTATCCATACACACATATCACAAGCACTCGTAGTATGTAGCGCGGTTACGGTATACGATACAGTGGATGCCTTACCTTCACCTTCCCAGCATATCGGATACGCGCCGCCGAGCGGTCCATCGAAGCGAGCATCTGCTCCATCCCGAGCGTCGTCGGTCGGAGAGAAAACCTCACAAGCGAAGCGAGCGCTCAGACACTTTCATATGTGAATATGCCATGCTTTATTATGCTCGAGTCCCCGCGAGCGGCCATGGCAAATATCTTACTACAAGCTCAATCTCGGCGTGTGAATGCCGGCCGGCTGGATAACTTCAACTTATTGGCAACGACCGACTGCAACTCTTACAAAGCAGCTTCATCACACACACCTATTACTGAGAGAGAGAGGCGTAGTCAACCGCAGGAATGATATCTCATATTCATAGGAAAACCCCTCAAAACCTACTCCATAACCCCTGTTCTCTTTGCCCTCCCCCCCGTCAGCCTCTTACAACTCTATTCATCATCTCTTCATTAAACCCCCAACAACCTCAACCTCCTCAACTCCTCCCTCGTCCCCTCAATACCCCCCCCCCCCGCGCAAGGGGACAGTAAAGTAGACCCACATGATGACCCCCC